AAGAGGGAGCCCTAAATGCTCACGCCATTTTTAAATCAGAATTCACAGGTTGCATCTTAGTGGTGTTGTAATTGAGAGAAACTGCATCTGCACAAACTGGTTAGCCATAGTAATCATGTACACGTGAGTATAAATATACCAATCAGAAGAAACAACAAAAGGAGGTGGGGTCTTATGGTCAAAAATTAGAGTGCGACATAGGTCACTTGTGTAACTCATACCAAAACACAGAAAGGCATGTCGGCACACGTAGGGAGATAACTGTTATACCACATGTCCAAGAAGGTATCTACATTCCCTTATTAAGGAAAAAGATTGGTTTCTCTTATTCTCACATTCTACTCAGGCAGTTGAATATTTGAATTGGTTCTCCACTCACAACTTGACTTATGGATCACATCTATAAATACCCCAACCCCTAGGGTTAGAAGGGATGTTCAATTTTTATGTAATACCTCATATTTCCCTTAAATGCTCAATGGGGTGTCAGCTGGATTATTGAAGCTCTTAAGTGCTCTAAGTGTCATAAGTTGGGACCAATAAAGTAACTAGTAGGCTCTGAAGAGATCAATTATTGATAAAAAAAAGACAGACCAATATTAATAAGTATAAGAGAAGATATTTTGGTAACTCTAATATTTGGTCAATTTGTATTAGATGAAAAAATATCAAAGGGAGATATTTATGTTATTAACTATTATTATATATTATATATGTATATATATTTGGTGGAAAAGAATAAAAAGAGAAAGAAGAGAAAGGAAGAGAAAGGAAAAGGAGAAGAAAACTTAGAAGTGGAAGAAGAAGAAGAAGAAGTCTTCATTATTTATCATTTCATCTTCATCAATCCTCTTCATCTTCATCTTATTCTAGAGGTGAGTTCCATTAGTTATTTTAGCATTGGAGATAAACATGAGAATATGGTGGGTTAGGTTTTGTGTGGAAATGGATTCCTATGAATATGTTGTTAATCATGTTGTTTGTGTTGCTTTGATACAATATATGTTGAGTTCTTGTTGGGAATGAGTTATGTAAGAGGGGGTGAAGAAACCCATTTGGGAATTGCCCATTTTATTGCTAGAAATTCTGAAAATCGCAGGGTTCGCACTGCGAGCTCTAGCAAACTGTAGGCGAACGTGACAGTCTGTCATGCTCGCACTATAAAGTGAAAGCGAGCTGAAAGCAAATACTCTCATAGAGCGCGAGCACTGAAGGCTTTTGCTACTTCCATAATTTCTAGCCTCGCTCAGAGTTCGCACAGTGAACTCAAGGCGAAAGGCCTTGCCTGGCCCTCGTACTATGAGCCTGGAAATGTTTTTCATACCTTGTTTGATGCTTGCTTGGTCGTTTCACATGCACGTTTGTTGTTACTATACATTATTTACATTAATTATGATGAGTAATATGCATGTGTATTTGTTGATTGGTGGATGGACTAAATGATGATTTTATGATTAATAAGGATTAAGAAAAGTGAGGAAAACCATAATAGAATTAATGATCTGTGAACCGGTGATGAATAACACCTTTATGAATTAGAGAGATAATCTGATAGGGAATGATATGGTGATGTAAGATTATGAACAAACCAAGAATGCTTGGTAGAGGATGATAGTGACTTATAATGCCTCGATGTGTTATAAATTACTATGATTGGTTATATTTATTGTGATGTGCTATTATATGTGTTTTGTATGATAATGTGTTATGTCATATATGTATACATGGATAATTTGATTGTGTGATAACATGCTTAAAATACTATTAGAACGGTGAGGAAACCCTTGATACTAATTAATGAAATAGACTAGTAAAGTGAATAGGGCATGATGAATAACGTAGATGACAATGCTTGTGCAATGATACCTAGGTGTGTATCATTGACAAGTAGTTGCCTAGTTGTGAGGAGAGTCTTGTATGGAATATATATGGTTGTGTTGTTTATGGTTAAGGCGAATGTGATGCCTTGTGATTGTCGAATACAATCACGCTATCCTTAATGATTACATAAGTGAATGGAGCCTACGGGTAAGAGACTTGTGATGGGGTACGATCCATGAGAAGTGACGATTCCTAAGGTTGATTATGCGTCCCTTAGAATTCGAATCCATTCGACGTTATGTTATGCTTTATCACGTAGTCGGAACCGGATTCCCTTGAGATGTGTCGTTTTGAGAGTGGAAGCTTATATAAAGGGCTACTCCGGAATGTACGCATTATTACCTTGACAGATTTGATTCCCATGTGTAGTACGAATGGAGCCTATATGTAAAGATACTTGTGATGGGGTACGACCCACAAGAAGTGACGATTCATGTGGACTATGTTTCTCGTGGATCCGAATCCATTTCGTATGTCAAGGTACATTACAAGGATCCATGACTCATGTTGATCTCCTAGACGTAGGAGAGGACGGGAAAAGGGATGTCTTGGTATGATTTTCGAACTAGTGATTGTTGAGTTGATGGACTCAAGTGGCATGTTTCCATGCATCGTGAATTATGTGAACTCAAGTCTTATCCCTTTCTCTTTTTGACTTGAGATAAAAATTGACTAGAACCTTGTAGAGTTGAGTGAACTCATAAGATAGGGAAACTCACTGAGATAATTATCTCACCCCACTACTGTTGTTGTTTTTCAGGTATTGTTTGCAGGTTTAGTTTGTATGTGGAGTCTTGCTTTGATGTTTCAAGATAAGCTTAGATTATGCTTATTCCGCTGTGCATTGTGTATTGTGTATCTTGTACAATGAAGGATATTGTACTTAGATCTTAGTTTTATTGTTTTGGCAATTTTCCATATCTTGCACCATAGAGTGTCTTTTATGTTTTAGAAATGGTTAAATATGTAAATTATGTCAATATGCACTTATGATTGGTGTCAATACCAGATAATAACCCTTGTATGGTATTAGTCTAGATATATATTATGCAGGGTGTTACCTTTTACCTAATTAGAATTTGAAAGCCCTTGTACACTCTCTAACATAGTCAAGATTCACATTTACTACAAGTACACTTCTTCTCCAAATAAATTCTTAATTAATATCACTAAGAGTGTGTTTGGATAAAATATTTTAAGGAGATAATATGATATTTTTAGGAAATTTAAAATGATTTGTAACAAATTTATTGTTTGAATAAAAAAAATAAGAAGAATTATTAAAATAATAAAAATCTATCGAGTATTTTTCCTAAGTTAAATTTAATGATCTTGAAATTACACTCAAAATCCAATAATTTCAAAGTCCTCTAATATTCTATAGAATTTGAATATCAAATTGATTAATATTATTATTTTTAATTTTGTAAATAGATCCCCATATTTTCTAAAAAAATCCAAACTAGTCCACGATAATTTTCAAATTAATCTCTTTAAAATTTAAAAATTGTAAAATTAATCCTTATTTTTAAAATTTAATTTTTAAACCAAACATTTTAAAATTTATAAAAAGTTATTCCAAAAATCTAACAATAATTTATCTTAATACTCTATCTAACCAAAAAAAATTAAAAAATCAATAAATTTCAATTGAATTATTTAAAATTTTAAATTCCTTAAAACATTCTAAATGTGTTGGAATATAAAAAGTGAAAATTATGCACTCCTATTTACAGAGAGTATTTCACTATCGAAAAAAATTCAATGCATACTAGTATTTAAGAACATCCGAATATAAAATAGATATATCAAGTACACTATTAATTTTTAATAAAAGTAAAATTAACAATATAATTATTACGAATGTTATTTTTTTTTCATATTTAATTCTTAAAAATATGACTATTGTTATATATTCGAGATAGTTCTGATTTCTGCATGTAGTCCAACTCCCACCAAGTAGTATTTATATTTGCCTTTGACACTAGCATTCTACTATTGATTACTTGAGTTTGACTTGTGCAAATCAAGAGAGCTCTGCCTGCCATAGCTTCCCAGATTAAATTTCAACATCAATGTCTGCCAAAAATTAAATGCTTCCTCACTTCCAATGCCTTCTACTAAGACCTAGAACCATTATAACCTTATTAATAGCTATACCATATATCTTCATTTCCTTGATCACACTCTTCTCCACATTTTGTGAAGAAAGAGCCCTACAACATTTCTACAAGACAACAAGATCATGGAGGCCAAGAAGCAAAGAATGGAAATCCAAATCCAAGCAGTCTCACTAATTATGCTACTGATGGCTTCAGCAACTATGACTTCAGCTACTATGACTTGTCCACCCCTAGATGGTAGAGGATGCAAAGACTGCATTTTTTACCAGATGAAAACAAGTTGTCCATCATGCAAGCCAATCCTTCACTGCATGGCTCTATGCTTATGGGATGGTGGATTAAAGTTCGCATGTATCAACAAATGTAACTGCAATACTTGCTACCCAAATCTCTATGATTGCAAGAAATGCATGTTAAAATGCAAGTGTAACTGCGTCAACTAGCCCACTTAGAAATCACAGTACTTTCTATTACCGTAGTTGCTTGTTTTGGTTCCAAAATAATTTACTAGCATATATTTTCTTTTAAGATTTATTGAATAAGTAATGTATCTAATCTATAACTAGACCAGATGCATAAGTTATTCAATGAACATGAAAATTGAATCTTTGCTAATAATAGTGTGTGACCTGAGAGTGTAAACTATAAGCTTCTACTATGTATCAAAGTAGATAAGCAAATCCAAAACAGTTGATGGATCTTGTACTTGTTTTGAATTTATCATATAATTTGAAAATCAGGTAAGGTTGTCTAATTTAACTCATTCATACCAACATCAATTTTATTGTCTTGTATATGCTTATGCTATAACAACTTCATCAAGTACAGAGCTCCTAAGATAGGTAACTAAGTACATTACATAACTACTTACAGTTAAGAGATAGTGATATTAATATCATACAACATATAAAATATTATTACTAAACATAGTTATAAATTTCAGTTGAAACATTTTGTCAAACAGTAAGTATGCATGTTTATATACTAAATTGGGAATCAGGGTTCGCGAAGAAACCTTTGTAAGCAACGAAACCCAAGATTTTGAGCACAAAAATTTTCCATATCATCACCACCTTTCTCTCTACAAATACTTTCTTCCATTTGTTCAATAACTTGATCCCAATTATTCAACGACCACCAATCGCATTCATCAACTTTAGCTTCCGAAACAGAGTCGAGTATCTCTTGTAAACCCACGATCCGACGGGTGACTTTTCTCCTGGCTTCTCTCACGGCTGGATCGATTCCGGGAACGGAATCGAGCTTGAGAAGTAGATTCATGAGTGCTTCGTTCATTTTTAGTTTTTCCAAGTGGTTGTTGCGGATTAAGTCTACTGTGTCTTGAAGCTGGATTAGGCGTTGGAGGTGGTCGGCTTCGGAGTCGACGGTGGAGATTTTCCGGTAGAGGGTGCGGATACGGTGGGATCGGTACGTGGATTGGATGGTGAGGGCGGCGTTGGATTGGGATTGGGGAGGGAGCTGAATGGAATTTGTGGGTTGAGGAGGGGTAGTATGGTCATTGTGGTAGAAGAAGTTAGGATTGGAATTGGAAGAGGATTTCATTTCATGGGAAAAGGGGTCAGAGATTGCAGAGAGTGGCAGGTGAAAACTCAGTTTTGAGAGAGTGGAATTTGGTGAAAAATAGGAAAGAAATTTTGTTCTGTGGGTCTGGGATTTTTACTTGAATGGGGTTGGCGGTAAGGTTTTGTTCTTAAGGGATATGATACAGTCTACAAGAATTCATTTTTAGCAACAAGAAAAAAATTAAAATAGTCACTTTAACTTTTGAGTATAAAATTAGGACCACTAGTTAATGGTAAGTTGTGTAAATTGTGTACTCCATTCTGCTCCCTTTTTGACATTTTAGTACTACATGGTTTGCAAGTCGCAAATCTATTGGCGTCTACTGTTGCGCACGCACAAGAGTTAGTACAGTACAACTGGTATGTCACAGAAACCACCACATATGAAATGTGCACATGCAGCCAAATTGGAATATCTTTCTAGAAATCAATACTAGGTCACACATTAGACTCAAAATCTACATTCCACCCAAACTCAACTGCTGCGTGTTGCTTTTGGGCACAAGAAGCTGGTTGCATGAGTACAATGTGAAGTGAGGGTGTTGATACTCTCCTTAGATTCTGATATGTAATTATAAATTAGGGGTTTTAGTCACAAAAAAAAAATCATAAATTAGGGGGTCTATCACCTTACTAACTTGTCAATTATGGAATTGAGTTTGCTCAGCTTCATATTTTAAGATGATGATAACCTCAAATGAAAGTAATATTAAACATGTTTTTCCTTTATTGTGATTCTCTTTTCCTTTATGCTGCTTTACTTTTTTGGTTGCATTTTGTAATTATTACTCTTCACACTAAATGATTATTTAAACTACTCTTTTTCTATGAATGTTAGACTGGTTTTATGAATCTGTATGATTGTAGTATTTGTTATTTTAAATCCAATGTCTTTGAAGTCTAACATTGATGAATCATGTTTTTGCCGCTCCCTTTTTCTTTATGATATATGTCAAGAGTTTAATTTAAATTGGTTATTATAGGAGTAGTTTCATTTACAAATCCGTTTGTTTTGGTTTTCTATTTTTTATTACATTTATATCCAGTGAACAAGTGATTGCATAACAAATCCAGTGAACAAGTGATTGCATAACAAAATTCCTAACAACTAAAAATAACTAATCTAGCAACAAAACAAAATGCCCCAGAGAATGTTATAATCATTATTTCATCTCAGTTTTTATCCATGCTAAACAAATGGATAGTACACTAAAGAACATAACAATCCTCATAAAAGCCAGTTTTATTCAAGTCTCTTTCCGAAGAAGTAATAAGAGAAAATTACAGCAGAAAAACAACTAAGGAGAAAGGATTCCTGATTCTACAGCTTCAACAACCTCCACCATACCACACCACTGGAAAATACTGCCATCAAGGAGCTGATGGAACAATCTTGCCAGAGCATGTACCAAACCCAATAGTGTAACCATTTCCCTGAAAAGCATGAATTTTAGACATTTTCATATAAAAGTTCTTCAAGTTCTAGTGTTCCACAACTAATAAAAATGTCACATGACTTTAGAAAGGAAAAAGACATTGAAGACTTTAATTTGATTGTAACCTTGGAATATCCAGTTAAGGTGACTTCATCTCCATCTTCAAGAAATTTTCTATCTAACCCATTCAACGACAGCGAATTTTGTCCATTCCATGTTAACTCTAGTAAGCATCCGCGAGACTCTGGCTCCTACAGTGAAAAAGAATCATTATAATATTACTAAAATTCATCAACCAGATTGATAGGTTGCAATACTTGAAAGAAAGAAAATGTATTAGGAAGTTAGACACAATAAAATATTGAATCTTACCGGGCCACTAATTGTCCCAGTTCCAAGGATGTCGCCTGGCCTTAGATTGCAACCATTGATTGTGTGGTGAGCAAGTTGTTGAGTCAATGTCCAATATCTACAAAACGAGAGGGCTAGAATAATTGGATGGATAATATTTATGTAAATAGTTTCAAAGGGTACATGATGGGTAAAAAATAGGTAACAAGGCATGTAAAGATTAAATCGAAATTTTTTGAAGATAGAGTCCTTACAAGTGCTTGAGGTTACTCCGCGTAACAACGCTTGAATCTTTGTGACCGGCAGGTTTAATGTGGACCTTGCACCAAGAAAAGAAGTTTTATGATTAACTTAAGAAATTGGAAATTTGGCTGTTAGCTACACAGATTATGAAGAGATATTGTCACTGACATGTAAAAGAAGGAAGATTCTTTGAGATACCTCTAGTGAAAGATCATAGTTTTTGGATACTTTTTCGGCCAAGTAAGGAAGTGGAGAAGGATCCTGCATTTTATGGATCGACGTGTTTATTGTGAACTTCATACATGAGCAGCCTAATTATAAAGTTTCTAAAATGTCAATCTCTTAAATGTAAGAGACCGGTTACCTGTTTTGGGGCTTCACAAGCAAAAGGTTCTAATGCGTCCAAGGTCACAATCCAAGGTGATATCGATGTGGCTATATAAATTTTGGCACACACCATAAAACAAGATTAACACTATAATAGCATTGATGATTAAGAAGAAAACTTCCACCCAAATGCTCAGTTTTTTTTCCTAAAGGACTTAAAAACATCTGAAGTAATTAATTGAAACTTCTTACCGAAACTTTTGCCAAGAAAAGGACCAAGAGGAACATATTCTCATGCCTGAATATCTCGAGCTGCCAAATACAATTCAGTGAAGCATCAACTATAGATCGCATTAACATCAAAAATAGATATTAAATTGAACAATTACCACTCCAGTCATTCAGTAGAACAAGTCCAAAGATATGATCTTCAGCATTGTTTATATCTACCGGTTTTCCTAGTTCATTTCCAGGTCCGACAGTAGTAGCCTGTAAGAAAATTAAGATTGTATTCGTAATAAAGCAAGTGAAAACTGGTAAATTACGATAACAACTCATTTAGAACAACTAAAACAAAGAAATGACAGAATATATAACCTTGATTTCATATGTTTAAATAAAACACAGCATGCGCATTATTGTGAGAAGTATGGCATTAGGAAATCTATGTAGACAAAAAGCTAACCATTTCCAACTCAAAGTCAAGCTTCAATGAAGGGCCGAAGTAGGGCGAAGGGTTTCCGGCAGGATGAGCTTGACCTCTGAACAAACCGACAAAGTAGCACATATTAAGGAAAAATCACATAGGATAGAAACAAGCATGCCTGTTTAAGAAACAAAGCTTCCTCCGTTAAGAAACAAAACATTGATAGGATATATCTTCATAAATAGTAAACCTCCAAAAAAAACAGATAATTTAGATATTTCCTCAAGCACATGAACTTAAGACTAGAAAATATTTCAACTAGTAACAAAATTTCTAACCTCGGTCGAATAATATCTGTTCCAGAAACAACAACAGAAGATGCTCGTCCGTGATAAGCAACAGGCAAGTGATACCTGTGAACCAAATTTCACTCATTTCTTCAGTATACAAAAGAAAATTTTACTCTTGTTTAATTTGAAAAGCCATAAAATTCAACACACCAATTCTCTAGAACAGGAGTCTGCGGTCCGCGAAATATGATTCCACAATTTTTAGTATGATACAGAGACGAAAAGAAGTCTGAATAGTCCCCAATTGCAACAGGGAGAAGCAACTCTACTTGGCTCTGAAAACACACACATCAAAATTGTTATAACAAGTTACAAACACAATACAACAACATGAAAATGTTAACTACAAATAAAATGTTTAATACCAAAGGCACAAGTGCTTTCTGTCTCAGGACTTCATTGTCCCTCAAAGTTGGCTCAGTTGCTGCATTCAAAAACAAAATCAATTCAATAAACATTAAAAAATAAATTATCCTAATATAAAGATCCTCCATACTAGACACTATACTTTTGACGGTACCACTTTGTGCAAACTTTAGACTAATAGCCATGAGATTGGAGCCTATTTTCTAACAACATGGTCGTATAACTCTTTAACAGAATAACGTCGGCTGATACGCTATCGAAGTTAAGAATTTGTGACAATAGGTTTCCTATTTAAGTAATTTTTTTTCTCGTTTTGGTTAAAAAAACTCTTACAAATTTTATTTACTCTATCAAATAATAACCTTTGTAATCGAAATATAACAGCAACCGAGATTATTCATTTCAGAGAATGCAAAGAACAAGGTGGTGTCAATGCAAGAAACCTCTCATCACCTTTCTGCTTCTTCCCCACAAACCCAACACTTTTCCATTCTCAACTACTCCTTCATCTCTCTCACAACACACCATTGCCACCATTCTTCATACTCTCTGCGACTCCAGCCGTTTCTCCGAAGCCCACCAACGTTTCTCCCTCTTCCTCTCCTCCGGTTCTATTCCCGATCACCACACATGTAACCTCCTCCTTGCTCGATTACTCCGTTCCAAAACCCCATTCCAAACATGGACTCTTGTTCAATCCTTGATCCATACCAAACCTGGTTTTGTTCCCTCTTTGGTTAACTACAACCGTTTGATGGACCAGTTTTGTTTCATTCACCGACCATTTGATGCTCACAGGTTGCTTTTCGATATGAAGAATCGCGGGCATTGTCCGAATGTTGTTTCTTACACCACTTTGATTAATGGGTATTGTTCCGTTGGTGGAATAAGGGATGCGTGGAAGGTGTTTGATGAAATGATTGACAGTGGTTTAGAGCCTAACTCGATGACTTACAGTATTTTAATTCGTGGGTTTCTTCGGGAAAGGGATTTGGAAGGTGGGAGAGAATTGATGTGCAAGCTGTGGGAGAGGATGAATTTGGAAGTTGAGTTGGGTGTGAAGGTTGCTGCTTTTGCAAATTTGATTGACTCTTTATGTAAAGAAGGGCTTTTCAATGAAGTTTTTGAGATTGCAGAAGTGGTGCCATGTGGTAGTAGTTTGTATGGGGAGGTTGTTTATGGCCAGATGATTGATTCATTATGCAAAGTTGGAAGGTATCATGGAGCATCTAGGATTGTTTATTTGATGAGGAGGAGAGGG